TGGTTCGAGATCACAGCTGAAAAAACGCGCGCGCGCTCGCCTCGCCAACCCAAAAGACACTGCGGAAATGGCCGCAACTTTGGCCGGGCCAGGTCTCTGTTGGCCAAACTCTCTCCGACAGATCTATGTTCAGATTTCCTCTGCGTGCTGCCAGCTCTCCCTCTAGCTGTCTTTCTCTTTACTTCTCTCTAGCTCTCTCTCTATCTCTATCATTTTAATTCACTGTCTCTTGTTGCTGCCTCTCTCTCTTTCTCTTTACCTCTCGCTCACTCTCCCTCTCTGTTTCGCCCTCCGTTCGGCCATCTCGTTCGCGAGCCACGCACACTTCCGGCTTGTTGATGTCTCTGTCTCGGTATGTTTTTGTGTGTTGCATTTGCTGGTCTGCTGTTTGCTGTATGTGTGTTTGTGTGTGTGTGTGTGAGTGTTGGGACTGTGTGTGTTTTTGTTGTATGAGTGAGTAAATGTTGGCCGCTGTAAACAACAATGAACTGACGACGACGTTCGATACGCCCGACGCTCATCATTGTTGCAACAATCTGTGGCCAACAGCTCGCACACAAACGAACACACATATACACTGGCCAGTTTCACAATTTCACAGTTTCAGCCCTAGTTCCAGTTCCATTGCAATTGGCAGGCCGCTTCAAGAAATACACTTTACGGTTCCCATGGTTTCATGCCAATTGGCATGAATATGAGTGTTAAATTTGACAGCCAAATAACGCTGATTATTTTAAATGGGATATTAAATACATTTTATGATTTTAATCAGACAAGACGGCAAACCGATTTGGAACCGAACCAGTTCCAAATTTTATAGTCAGCAAGAACCGAACCTTAAAACAGATAAACAGCAAAACTTTTAAATGATATTTTCCATGGAAAATTCACTAATTTCAATAAATAAAGAAATATATGTAAGGCAAGACTTTTGTGTGAACCGAACTAAACATTAGAAACATTTATGAGGTTCGCAGCAGGAAACTATAAATTTTTTATACAATGCATTTTTCTTAAGCAGGTGATCCCTGCCAATTACCTGAGCATGTGATCTTTAATCAAAATCAAATACCAACCCTATAAGATGTAACTTTTTTGGCAGAGGGTTCATTATTTTCGACCCACAGTGCGCGGTACCAAACTATTTACATTATGCTTATATGTATTTCGCGCACTCACGAGACGTCCGCATCTATCAACAGCATCCCATACACAGATATCCTAAAGGACAAAAGCCCAGCAGCAGCAGTGGCAAAAGTGAAATGAATGCAAATAGAAAAAAGGAGTCGAATGGACTCGAGTCTTGAATTGAGTCAAGTCGGGCTGATTCTGGAGTGAGTGCAGTGGAGTACGTGACGCAAAATGTCCTTTGCATTGTTGTCCAGCTGTTTGTCTAGCCGTCTCCTTGTTGCTTGTGCGATTTCCGCTCATTATTGCTGCAATCAGCCAGACAAAGGCTACAACACACACATCGGACTCGGACATAGAGCGCAGGCTATGGGCCTGGAATTTATGCGTGTTTTGATTTTTGCGCACAGACACCATGTGGAGCATACCAATAAGGGCCTCTTTGCCGGCCAAGTGGAGCCTGAGTGTTGGATTTATGAAAATAAAAATTGTCTGACATCCATTGGCGATTTGATTATGCTGTCATTTGTCGCAGCGTAAAATAACGCCATGTTGGACAGCTGCCGCATCAATGGTAAATGGTAAATGGTAAAGGGTGTCTAATATGTGGGCTGGCCATAAGGCCGGGTGTGCTACATATAGTTGAAACAGGATTGCCGGCTGCCCATTAAAATTCAATTGGTTTGGTTCTACGTGAGCTGGCTGCTTGAGACAAAAACAAATATTTATGCATAATACGGCCATTAAAACAAAAGTTCTTCATGGCCACTCTCAGTCTCAGCGTCAGCCTGAGTTCCAGACTCTAAGTGCAGTCGAAGGCGGCGCGACGTCTATGCCAGATAAGCCTCGCCTCATTAATGCACAAAACATTAGCAAAATTCGAGTGTGTAAAATGCATAACACTTTGTTATCTGGGCCCAGCGCCAAGTTTTGCATTATATTCAATGCCCGAGGGAGTGGAGATACCAGTCGCGATGATTCTAATTGTCAGCCCGGAGATACGCTTGCTCAAATACTCAGAAACTGCCAATGACAGTCGGCACAAGGTTAAGAAAATCGGGTTCAATAAAAAAACATATTAACAAACTAAATCAGTCGAACCAACTGAGAAAAAACGTTAAGGCTGAGATCAAAACAAAGGAGTTTTAAAAAGTGCACAACTGAAACAATAAGTCTCATCTCATATCCCAGCTCAATGTTGTCTTCAATTTTTAATTCCGGCTTAAAATAGAAAACGCTAGGGAATATAAGGACCTTGAAGTCTGCTATGACTAATTCCTAAACCGAACCAGTTCAAATCAAGACATTTAATGTTTTATTAACCAAGAATCAAAGACTAGCTAGATATATATAAAACAGCAGAATCGAAACCTGATAATAACCATACATAACTGATGTCATCTAAAACAGTGTTTTATGCGGATAATTGAGAATAACTAATCTTGCTAAATAAAAAGATATGTAGAAATTGGTTCGATGGAAATTGGTTAAAAGTCTGACAAGCCAGGGTGCGCATATAAATGGGGATAATCAGAATACGAAGCGAACCCTTGAACATTATTGCCTGGGCTTCAACACAGATAGAAATTCTTCATTATTTCAGCTGGCCGAACTCTTGATTGGGGAGGGGATTCCCTTAAGATGTAACTGTTTTGTAATGGTATTTTAAGCTTTATGATCGACACCAAATTTTCTGGTTTGTGATTGGATAATAACCGATTGGGATGGTTTAATAAACTACGGAAGAGATGTCAAACGGTTGCCTCGTTCGCTGTTGCGATCAAGAAGAAATATGATTTGTTAAATAGGACATTATAATTTAACGACATGCTTCTGGGTATTCCCGTGAGAGATGTCTTGGATAAGGCATCAAGAATTTTGGCCACCCACAAACGACTCGTAAATAAAATGATTTTCTTTTTTCGTTTTGTTTTATTTTTATTGGCGCCTCCGCGCTCCGCTAGCGTCTCCAGCGATGCGCTCAGGCTGCTTAAATAAATTAATACAGATATCAGGCAGATCGTGCATCAAATTACATCAAATTAACGCTGCTCCCAGAATATGCAGCCAGAGCAATTAACTAAGCCGCTGCAGCGGATGTCTTTCCAGTGGCAACAGCCAGCCGCCGCCCCCTCTGGAGGCTGTATGTGCGCTCCATCGGTAAAGTTTAAACGGGGTCAAGCGGTTGCATTCCCCGTTCGGTTCTTTTTTCTCTCTTTTTGTTTTTTACCGAAAATAGCACAGACACACAAATATAATAATACGAGCCAGGAGACAGGCGTGCGGAGACGTGGGAGGAGGCGAGCGAGAAATAGAATTGATAAGTTTGTGGCGGGTGCTCCAAAAATAGTTGCGCAGTCGACGCTTCATTTCATCCGGCTGCCACGGAATTACACTAAAAAGGGGGCGGGCTGCGATTGGAGTTCACTTATGTGGTTGGGGCTGCCGATGGGGCTGCGGCTGCAACTGGGACTGGGACTGGAACACCGACTGCTGGCATAGACGCAGCGAGTAATTGCATAGTCGACATCAACGTCTATGCCGCATTATTCCAACATATTAAAACAAAAGGCGACTCAACGGTTCCACCGGCCGTGGACAGCGTGTAGCTGTCCCAGGCGATTGATGATATCCATGCGTCTGGACAGACCTGTGCCTACACCATTGCACACCCGGTGCCCCCCCCCCCCCCCCTCGCTGCTCTCCTTACCCCTTGCTTGCTTAAACAACTCCAGACAGACGCATGCATTGCAGGCGAGCAGATGGTCCGACAGCCCAGTAAAATGTTCGCCAGACGATGCATCAGCTGTGCGTCAAAAATTGTTTGGTTATGCCGGGTTAGGGCAGGTCAGGGAATATCCTTCGTTCAATCGAGAGCAGATAGGACAGTAAACGATACTAATTTGTCTTATAGATACTTTGAGATAAATGAAAATAGAAAACACGGCCTTATACACCGGATCGAATGAATATGAAACTAATTTTGGAGCTACGTTAAATATTTGGTTTTTCAAGGCTGGTATTGTTTATCTTCACATTATTCAACAAAAAGAGCTGTTTAGACATTTCATCATTCACTGGCGTGTTGCTAGCCTTTAAATAAGAATCCAAAGACTCGGAGCTTGCGAAACGCCTATCTGTTCTGGACCTCAGGTAGGAGAGATACCTATTGGCCATCATGGATGAAGACTTCTTCAGAGCAACGTCCGCCTAAGTCATGGCGGAGTCCATGCCGTCCTTAACCAGAAACCTTGGGTATTCTGAGGCAAGGTGTCTGTATTGAGGACGAAAAACTATAGCCATTTTAAGCTCACACCAGCAATATAATTCGTAATATATTATATTTTTGACCCCAATGTTTCAGCTATAGCGACAACCGCCGGATGCTAACTTACAATAAAGAACAAATATTGAGAGTTCACAACAATCACGTTTTGCCCAATCATAAATATACTTTAACTGAACTTTCTATTTAAATTGGTAAGTATTTATCTCTAATTCTGAAAAACATTTTTCAAGTGTATATCGATGCAGCATTGATATTATCTCCAGCATAATCATAAACATATTTTAAATTTTGAAAACAAGTCTAAACTTTACAGCTTTAAGCTCTAAAGCTATTCAAAGTTTTCCTTACTAAGGACACCCATATCAACTAAAGCTAACAAGCTTTTAGCGTGGTTTTGGTCCAAAGCTCACAAAATGCTTTTTACTTGCTGTGTTTGAGCTTTATTCATACACAATATACGAATCGTGTCAACACTTAGACAGCTTTCAAAAGCTCAAAATGCTTAACTAAAAAGAGCTTTTGTATTTAACGGATTAAAGAAAATTACAGTACTTAAAATGGTATGTTGTTTTCAAGAACTCACCTGAAAAAATAGTGTAAACGCTACCCATTGATAATATTTTGTGTGCTTTATTGTAAGAGGGCCACGCCCCTGTGAATTGTGAATTCCAGGAAAAGGCACCTCGGAACCTTGCTTTTTCATGAACGCATCCACAACTGTATACGTTGAGTGTATCCAACAATATGTGTTGAGAACATCTTCGGGAATGTCTCTGTGGAAAAACAATAATCGTACAGTTAAATAACGAATACCAAGTTGATTTCACCCGGCCGTGTCCGAGCTTGTGGTAATTTAATTATATTCGTACTGTCTTGAGACCACTTCTCAAATTGTATTTCACAAATGTATTATAAATAGTAAATAAAGCCAGTCTAAAAGAAAAATTCACAAATATCATTTCAAATAAGCTTAAAGCCCATCGGAAGGTGAGCAAAAAAGTTTCATGCAACCGCTTTCCACCCATTTCCCATAGTTCCGAATAGAATCTAAGTGAATCAGCAATCAGTCAGTCAGTCAGTCGGTGGGGTCAAATAGTTATATATATTGATTGGAAGATTATATAATCCCACTTACCTTGTGTGTACACAGTCTATGGGGTTTCCTACGTACTGCCGCGTTGTCACAGCAATCGAGAATGTGATCAGTAAAATAACCGTTGCGTTTGTGTGCAGGCGAAAAACAGGTGAATCGATTTTGACATGAGACACCTGTTTTCGTGTATATCGAGAATCCGAAGAAATTGTGTGTGTGGAAGTTGTTGTTGGTGTTGGTTGATTTGTTTTTGGGCGTATGCGAAGAGAGAGAACATTATTATTAAGCGAATTGGCAACGGGGGGTTAAAGGGGGATATAAATCGAAAAGTTTTAATGCAAAACTGTAATACAAATTTTCTAGGAATATCTGTTTCATAATTAGGTTGTATTTCTTTTGAATTGTGCTTTTTAATTAATATAAGTAGTATATGTACATTAACTTATATGGCAGGATTACTGTTTCTTTTTTCTTCATCTTCTCTTTTTCTTTTTAACAAAAACTTGATTTCTTTGACGTTTCGCCTTACAATTAGTGTAACTGACTTACAACTTAACAAACAGAGAGAAAGTCTTCTGCCATACGTACAGGTTTTCATATATAGAAGGTACTTTACTTTGCTGATCTCAGCTGGCTCACATTGGGGCCCGATTCGGGGGTATAACCGCGACCACTCTGAACATCCGCTGGCCAAATGCGATCGATGGCAACATATATATATATATATATATATATATATATATATATATATATATATATATATATATATATCGTAAGTTTATCGCAGCTTTCTTGGATGAGGTTCAATTTGATCGCAATTAGGTACCCGGGGGTATTAATTAATTGATATGAAATAAATACAATTTGCAGTTTCGAGTTGTCGAATTTAATACGGATTGGAAATTTGAATTATCATGTAAGTATAGTAAGGTGTCACAGCAATTTGGTAATTTTAGGCTTGACTTTTCTTTATACTTTATATAAAACAAAGAAAACAAAAGGAACGATAAATAAATTTTGGTGTGAAGTGTAATACGAATTGCGAAGTATGCTGACTAGCAATTAAATAGAATTGCTGGGAATGCAAATTTATGTTGAGGTTTTGACGTAAATCATAAGGCGGCCACTGAAGTGAGCGAGAGAGCGAGAGAGCGAGAGAGAGAGAGAGAAAGGACGGGAGAATGAGTTAGAAAGAGTGAAAGAGAGAGATTGAATGAGCAGAGATGATAGTCGATTAACGATTTACGATTAACGATTAACGCACTTCAGTTGGGCCGCCATTTAATGGGCTGAATGCCAATTGGGCTTTACGTGATTTGTTCGACTAATTTTAAATTGGATTTGCTTAAATTTCAAATTGGATTTGAATTTGTATTTGAATTTAGTTGTTCGTAACGATGACCACTCAATCGATATTTTATAAAATGGATTCACTCGTCACTTTCGGCTGACTATGAGAAGTTTAATAAAATCACAACAAAATAATCAGAAAGCATAAGAGAAACTCTAAATGTTAATAATAAATAGTCTCGTGAAACGGTCTGGTAAAACCCATGAAATTTCGATAATGGCTTATCAATGTCTGCAAAACGAATGCACAGATTTGTGGTGGTGGTTTTTAGTTTTGTAGTAGTTTTGTTAGTTGCTGGTTGTTGGTGAATAAGTAAAATGTGATCATCAGAGTGGTACAAAACAAATCTGGCGCTTTGCTATTTTGTAGTAGCGGTAGTAGGTGAACTGTGAGCTGAGCGGTGAGCTGGGGTGAATTTATGTATTCAACTTGCTTGAAAAGTGATCAACGTCTAAACCAGTGATTGGTAAACGGTGATCTGTGAACGGTGAGCGAATAGTTGCGATTATGACTGTGATCGTAATCGTGGTAAGTTGGCTTGTGAGCGTGGTGAGTGGTGGGTTGTAGGCGAACTGTGGTGGTTGTGGTGGTTGTGGTGGCTTAGTGGTGGTGGTTGGTGGAATAGTGAGCAATAAAAATGTGTGCGACAGCTGTGAAAGCTGTGCATGTAATTGTGAGAAAATTGCGAGACGTAGAGAGGAGAGATAGAAAGAGAGAGAGAGAGAGTGATCGTGAAAGTGTTGTACACAAAAATTAAAACATTTCAAAACAAAGAAAAGTAAAAAGATATACATATTATAGTTATTATAAAAGTTGTATAAGATTGTAGATGGTGTGAACAACTAGATGTATTTGAATTGAATGGAGAAAATTGTACGAACAAATTTTAAGTAAGGTGTAAACTTGGTACGTTAATTCTAAATATTCAACACAGTACAAGTAAGAGTAAGACAAACAGACATATACATATATTTGTAGATATATATAGAGGTATACGGTAATACGTAGCTGCCCGAATCGACTGGTACCGCAGTCAGTTCGTTGGTGGGGTCTTAGCTTTAATTAAATATGTTTTTATTTGGCCTGCTGGCCAGTGTATTACATACAGATCCTAGATATGGGCATATCTAGTCTTTGATATGATGTGTCACATGCACTGGCCCGCATAGCTCACACTATATCATACTTTAGGCTAAATCCCATCATCGAGCATAGGTATTATATGTGAAATTGTTAAAATAATACTAAGCATTTGAGTTTAGTTTTCAAGCATTGTCGCAGTATCTTCTGAAATTAGCAGTCACAACTGAGTTTGGTTACGGGTTTTAATTTAATTTCATTATTATTTGGTTAATTTTTGTGGAGGTTTGGACAATTTTCGAACGTAAACAAATAGCCACTATAAATATTTACAAAGTTGGGATTGATTTCTTTTGTTTAGTTGTAAATACTGTGGTTAGCTTCTTCTTGTATAGTTGTATCGATCATGGTATCGGTATTGGTATCTGTATTTGTGTGTCGGATCGGTATTGTGCTGTCGGCCTTGGTTGGAGTTTGGTTTGGTTTGGTTTTGGATAGCTTGACTTGAGTGTTACTAGATGGTTGGTTTTAGCATATTTTTTTTTTTTATGGGAAATAAGTTTTTATATAAATATACATATATATGTCTAACAATATATATATATTTACGTTTTTTTGTTTTTTTTTTTTTTTTTTGGTGATTTTAATAGATAGTAAATGATTGACAGATACACATACACTAGTTAAATACAGAGAGTGGCGTAAAATTATTTTTTATAGTTGCTTTATATTAGCTCGATCAGTTAGCGGTATTTTTGGTAATTGGTAATTGGATTAATTTAGCTTTTGACTTTGGCTGTGGTTTAGCTTGGGTGAGAGTCAGTGATTGCGTGATTGATAGATAAATTTACTGTGGCAGTTTGGTGATTGAGTGAGTGAATGCGATTGAGATAGATAGAGAGAGAGAGAGAGGGAGTGTGTATGTTTGTATAAAACTTGCCGTTTAGTTGAATCAAGTTTTTGGTTTTATTTTTTTTTTTAATATTGTATATAAATTTAGTTGTGATTTGATTTGATTTCATTTTTCTTTGCTGTTAGTTACGGCATTTTTCCTTCTTCTTTGTTTATTGCTCTGGTGAGTAAAAAGTGTTCAAGAGTAGTTGAAATACAAAAACATAATTGACTTGTTGCTGTTGTTACTTGTAATTCTTGTTGTGATCTAAACGAGTACGTTGTGAGCGTCGCATCCGCTTGCTGAATACGAACGAGTGTTTGACAAATACTGAATGCCGAGCGTGTGTTAGTACCCTGGCCATTCCTCAGTGAAAGTGAGAGTTCGGTGATAGAGTGAGAGAGAGATATATATTTAGAGAGAAAGTGGCGAGTGAGTGGTGAGTGAGTGAGCGAGTAAGTATAGTAGTAGGTGATCAAGATCAGCTAACGAGTGAGCGCACGCAGCGATTGTGAAGTTCGTGAAAGTGTGTTGAAATTGGTGGAGAGCGTGGATAGTAGCGAGTGGTGGCGGTGGTTGTGGTGGAGGGGGTGAGTTGTGGAATATGAGTGAAATTGAAAGCACTAAATAAGTAAGTTCCTTGGATTGAGCTGCTTGTGGCTTATGAATGCGACTGATCAAGTGTTGAGTAATTGCCTTTGAACTATAGCTGTGTGCGGCGTGGTGTTTCAACATCTTCAAGTGTTATTCTACTTTTAGATTTAACATAACTCGCTTGCTGGTCACTGGTGTTGGTGTCCAGGAATTTGCATAGTTAACTTTTTGCTATTGCTGTTTTGTTGTTGTTTAATTGTGTTTTCTTTGTTTGTTGTTGTTTTCGCATTAAATTAGGTGATTCGGTTTTGATTGTTTGTTGATTGGTTTGTGTAAAGTGATTTTGGTGGAGAGCCAGTTTATATTTCGTCACAATTTTTTCAACAATTTATGTTTTTTTCTTAATTTTTCTTTTTTTGCGGGTGAGGGTTATGTTCTAATTTGATTTTATTTTAAACTTTGTTAAAATATTTTAGTATTAGCTTATGTGAAACGTTTATATTGTTTTGGTTTCAGTTTTTTTATGTCTTTGTAAGCACATTCGAGGGCGAGAGCGAACAAGAGCGATGAGTTTGAAAGTGTTTTCGAAAAAAGGCTTTAAGAACAAACATAACACAGACATAAACAATAGACAATCAACAAAACATAAGTAAAAAAAAATTGGCTACATAGCACAACAAAATGAAACGGGCAAAGCAACGCAAGGCCAACCCGAACTAACGTAAATATAGCGAAGTGAATTCTGTTTCACAGATTCCCAGGTCCGAATTCCCATACCCATTTACCCCCACCATACTGTGCATATGTGTGTATGTGTGTGTGTGTGTGTGAGTGACTGTGTCTGTGTATGTAATAAGCATCCTGTGAGCCTGGACTGAGTGACTTACGCTTACGAACTGATTAACAAAATGGCATTTCCCCGACTGACTGCAATGGCTGTACGACTGAATGACTTCTGCCCAGTAACCATAACAATGTATTTTATGCCCGCAATCCAGTAAAAGTCGGAATTTGCTGCCGTTTCTGTCGGGACAGCGAGGCAATAACTGGGTGGCTAACCGAGAGCTTTGGTGCTCGTTTTTGCTATTAGAACAACATTGGCAATACATTGGGGCAATAAAAATAAGTTTTGTAACAATACAGCTCGCCAGCTTAGCCATTGCGCTCTGCGTTCGAGTGTCTTTTGAGTGCCTTAAGCATCTCACACATGATGTTGTTGCCGCCGTCGCTGCTGTTGTTGCTATTGTTATGACTTCTGG